TATCTCTGCTCTATTTGCCGGGCTTATATATTAAAATAGAGGGCGCCTAGAAAAGACTAGAGTTGCCCGAACAATAGCAATTTACATTAAACCAATAGATAATTAACAATAACTTAATTAAATGTACAGAATTTGCAAACACAAAATTAAAATTCAACAAAGTATCTTAATTTTACGGGACGTATCTTCTTCAGTACTGGTCTCCATCTCTTGGCTTCTGCTTCACGTGGGTTCATATGATCTATCAGGAAATGTCCTATTATCGGTAACAGTCACATCAGTGGTAGTAACTACATCAAGGGCTTCACTGTTTCTCTTCTCAAAACCGGGTAGAGTTTCTTCTTCGACAGTGGCTTTTTCAGGTGACACATCTTCAGCAGCATCATTTGTTCCATTGTTCACTTCGTCCCAACTGAAATGTCCTGGGCCGTGATAACGCCAAAGCCTGTTGGCATGCACAACCTTTGGCTTACCTCGCCGACCACATTTTATTCGGAAAGTCACGTCTGAGAGACGATCCACTATGACATATGGGCCTTCCCATGGAAAAGACAACTTAGGAAATTTCTCTTTGGTCTTCCTGGGCTTATACAGCCACACCTTGTCTCCTGGTACAAAGCTGACTTCAGTAGATCTCCTATCATAACATAGTTTCATGGGATCAGCAGACGTTTTGAAGTTTGAACACACTTGATGATGAATATCATCCATCCTTTCAGATAACACTTTCACGAACTCTGACACATTTTCAGGCAACCCTTTGTAAGGTGGGTATCCTGTTATCAGGTCCACTGGCAACCTATGTTATCGACCAAACATCAACATTGCTGGAGTGTATCCAGTGGCTTCATGCTCTGCTGTTCTATAGGTCATCAACAGTGGAGGGAGTAAGGCATCCCAGTCATCTTGGTGGCTATTACAAAACTTTGCCAATTCATGTCCCAATATCTAATTGCACTTTTCTACCACCCCATCAGACTGTGGGTGAAGTGGAGTTGTCATGGTCTTTCGTATGCCAAACAACTTGGAGCATTCATGGAACACAGCTGATTCAAAGTTACGTCCTTGATCCGAATGCAGTTTGTATGGCATACCAAATCTGAAGAACAACTCACTAATAGCTGAAACTACAGTTGTAGCTTCCTGATTTGGTATTGCATATGCCTCAGGCCACTTGGTGAAATAATCCATCACCACACAAATGTACCTGTTTCCAGCACGAGTTTGAGGCAATGTACTATTCATGTCAATGGCTACTCTTTCCATTTGTGCACAAACTTGATATAACTTCATTGGAAAACGTCCCTTATGCTTGGGTTCCCTTTTAGCACAACATGTACTGCAGGTCCTGCACCATACTTCCACATCTTGCCTCATACCTATCTAGTAAAATCTCTGTCGTAGATGACTCAATGTCTTCTTAACTCCGAGATGTCCTCCTGTTAAACATTCATGGGATTGATGCAGCACAACTTCCCGTAACTTTCTCGGTATAACCGTTTGCCAGGTCGTCACTTTCCCATCTCCGGACAAGAATACCATCTTCAAGCTTCAACTGGTCCCATTGTGCCCAATAGTTATTTGTCACAGAGCTTAAGCTAGACACCTTCTCCCAAGCAAGGTGCAAAACACTTGCTTGTAGAAAATCAATTATTGGCTTCAAATCTTGGTCTTTCTCCTGCTCTGCTTTAATATCTATACCTGGTTCCACTTCACCATCATCGACTCTTTCAGTCATTTTGACTTCAGCTTGATGGCACCTGGTTAGTCCAACCTCTCTTTTAACACTTACCAGAATTTGGCCTTTGTTGTTCCGAAACGTCATTTTATGAAAGTTAACTATACGCTTTCTCGGTAGTAAGTAGTCCAAACCTAATATGCATTGGTATTCAATGTCAGCCAAGTATACTTTGTGTCTGTCCTTTATGCCCATGAGCTCAACAGTTACCCACACTGGTCCCCACAACCTTGCATAATGTCCTGTTACACCACAGAGCTTCTGTATGGCTTCTGGTACTCCTTTTTGATCTAGCACCTTGATGCTCACAAGGATATGCTGAGATGCAGAATCTATGACAAAGTTACACTTTTGGCCATCCAGCTTTCCTGTCATATAGACACTATGTGTGCTTGCCATTTTACACTTAGCTGTTGGAACTTCCACAAGGGGTTGGTGGGCGTCCCTCAGCACCAACCACTACTGGTGTCCCGAAGCTGACTTATTGGTAGTATTCTTCTTACATTGGCTCCTCATATGTCCTTGCTCTCCACAGTTCCAACAACCTTTCTGGGTAGCAGCCTTTCCTGCCGTGGCATCTTCCCTGTGTTGACGTTTCTGGCATTGAGCTTTCTTGTGCCCATTTTTGTTACAGTGCCAGCAAAGTCCCTCAAACCTCTCTGAAAGCTGGCCTTTTGCTGGTCTTGAAACCTGATGGCTGTACTAACCTTGGTACCTCTATGCTGGACTTAACATAGGATTCG